CAGGTTTTGTCTCAAGTCTCACAACATTTGATGATTTGCTTAAGGCCCCAGATCTTTCAGGCATGGGATTACATGAGAATCTCGGTATTCATATTTAAAAAATTAAAAAGAAAAAAAAGAAATTTCTTGGTCCTGTGGTTCGAGAGAAATGCTTGGAAACCAGGGCTGCCTATATATATGCTTGGAGGTAGAGGGGAGGAGCATTTTAATTAGAAAGGTTCCTGGAGAGTGGCTCTAATTAAAACAGCTCACCATCATGTGTATTAAGCCACCACCTCCACATTTCAAAATGGCCACAGGGGCACTTTAACTAAAGCTCACTTGGCAAAATTTAAAGTGCCCCCACAGTCATTTTGAAATGTGGGGAATATTGATACATGTGATGATGAGGAGAAGCTGGAGCGGTCCAATCAGAGCATGGAGCAGACTCCAGTCATCGATTTGGCTCTGATGAGTTGTAATTAGAATGCCAATGAGCATGTCTGTGGGCAACCCAGAACCCTAAAGACAAAGGCAAAAGACAAAGGCAAACCCAGAAGGCAAATGAAGAGGCTGTTACATTTCTTATTTTTAAAAGCTCATGTATATTATTTTTTAAATCTCATGATTTATTACACAAGCTCAGTTTCAAGGGGGATCTGGCCCATTGGTTTTTAATGTATGATTTTTCAGAACAGGCAGTAGTGTACTTGACTGGCCAATTCCAACCATGATGAGCAGGGATTTTAATGGCAAAAGCAGCAGCAATTTGCAAGTGTAGTGAGCTCCCCTTGCAGAACACCAGTGCAAACAGCTGTACTGTAGACACATTCCCACAACTGCTTGTTGCTCATACTTGAGCTAATAGGACCGAGTACCTTAATTCATTCCTAAAATAATTTACTTAGCCTATCAATCAGAAAGCAGTTATTCCAGCCCAAGCCAAGTAAAAAGAAATATCGAGGTTATCTTGCTAACAAAGAAAACTCCCTTACAACTTGAAAGGTACCTTTTCTTTTTGTTGGACAAGGAAGCCAACATGTTTAAAATGTTCCAAGCAGTTTAAAAGAGATTAAAGGGTCCCAGCTATTCAGATGTTTGAAGTTTTTTTGTATGGACCTTATGAAGTAAAGGCACCCACACACACAAAGCCTCTTTTAAACTCTTGTGCAGATGTCAAGCATAATAACTAACCATGAACTTTCCAGAACATTAAGCAACATTATGTTAGCCTCTTCAAAATGGGTGAGGCAAACAGCTTGTTCCAACCTCCTCCCACACATACAAACATACTGACCTGGAGAGCTAGCAGAACATATAACAGCCTTGTAAAGGGCTTAACAACTTCCACCCTCCCTATGTACACCTGGTAGGTTCCTTCCTCTGCCCAAGCAATACACCTTTTCACTCTTTATGGTCCTGAGCCTTGAAGGCATAATACAGCCTGTAATGCAACAGAACACTACAAACCATGTTAAAACAAAAGTTCTCTTCTGCTCCTGCGCCCTGCCTCCTAAGTGGGAGATGAGCGGGGTTGAATCATAAGAAGAAAATCAAATTAAACATTTGGTCTTGCTCCTCAGATGGCACCTTTATTACAAATGTTAAGTCCAGATTGATGTCTCCTAGCCCCTGAAAATAAGGGGTTGTACCAGAAATGATGACAGATGCTTACATTTACCAGCATTAACAGATGCCACTTTAATAAAGATAGCATCAGCATGAACCCCCTGGTTTGAATTTCATAAAGTTTGTTAAGGAAATATTTTGGAGAGTGAAGGAGAAACTATGTCTTAATGATGTTCACATGTTTCCCCGAAGAATGAAAGCTGATATGTGCGGGCGTCGAAAGCATTACATGCTAATTTTATTAAAGTGGGGGAGGGTACTTATAAAAAGCACAAAAGTAAACGCTATTGACCCCACTGGCAAAAGGCTGAAAAGGAACCTGTGCTGGGAAGCTGAGACTTTTCGCCTTTCTGACAACAAAGTAGGTGATGGCTGTCTTGAAAATTTATGGTATCATTTTATTTATAGCAGATGTCCCCTTAAAGCAAACATTTTTGCTTTATGCTACACAAATCTTATGGATAATTGCAAACGTAATGTGGAGTTTTAGTCATGCTGCAGACATCCACAGTATTTTCTATAATGGATTATGAACAAAAAGAAGGGGAAAATGCCCTGATACTGATCTATGGCTGAAAGATAAAGAGATAATCAAAACAAGACTTCTGTCAATGCTTTTTAGAGATTTGTTTTAAGGAGAAAAGGTAAAAGTTGAAACTGTGTATGGAGTCCACTAATTAAATCATCATTTATCCCCAAAGAGTCTTGCAGTTCTGATGAAAATGACCATATACCAAAGTAATTCTTAACTAGTATACTTAGTTATGGCCACGGACCTAGACCCTGAGATTTCATTTGGGATATTTTTACTGTTGTTAATTTTAGGGAAACATTGTTCAAGTCACTTGTTCTACCAAACTAAGTAAACCAAGCCCACACCCTCAATTCCATTTCCTCAGTTGAAACCATTTGCTAAGTCTCGTCTCTTTAAAGTATGGTGACCTTGTTAGCTACACAATCACTGCTACACTACATTGTATAGAAATTTCAATCTCTCAAGTTTAGCAAAGAAATAAAGAGCAATTAAAGTAGAAAATAGATTCTGCCAGAAAAGTTTCAGTCATAAATATAACTGGATAAAAAGAAATAACCATTTCCTCCATCAGGCTTTTAATTTTCCATGTTACAGCCCATCCAGTTTCAAATATAGAGCCTGATTCTGCAAACCCCTTGTGAACAGAACTCCTGTTGATGAAATGTTTGCTTCTCTAATTGTTCCCCTAATTAGTGAAGTTCAAGATGGAGTACTTCATGAATTTTTGGAAACTACAATAGAAATGGATAAAACCAATACTTCTGTGGATTCACTGTTCATTATGCATGGATTGTAACAATGCACATTTCAAAAAGAAAGTCATTAAAGTAATGCTGCTGTTCTGTTTTTGCAGGTCTTCGTGACAGTTTAAGCAATAAAATGGTTTAATCTCTCTGGATTGCAACAACACAAATCTGTGACAAAGACAGGAGATTGACAGAATTTGTAATAATATATTTTTACTTATGTCATAAATTTGTAATTTCAAGGACATGATTCTACAATGACCCCATTGCAACATTGTGTAGGCATTGTTCTACACTGATTTGCATTAATGTCTACAGAAGCATTTCCCTCACTAGGACTGCTTCAGAGAGCATGCTTGCTATTAAAATTCTGGTCACAGACGAGGGTTAAAATATCTCTAACCTTTACAAATGTATTATGTGGCACTACTGACATAGCTTTTATTCCAGATAAAATCTATAACAAATTCTTTGTGTGACAGGAGAAGAACATGATTCTGTATTAAATTCAGATGATAGAGATGCGTTCCTCTGCTTGTACTTTCAAAATGTTTTGGATATAATAACAATAGGATATGCTTTCTAGTCCATTACAGCTAGAAAACCTTAACATCTATTCAATTTGTGTTTGTCCTGATTTGCCTTGATAAGTTTTTCTTAAACAGAAGAAGAGTCTATAGCAACAGCATTAAGAATTCAATTAATTTCCAATGTTGGTGACAACAGTCAGAAGACAAGAAATTCATTTGTTAAGGCTGGCAACCTAAAATTAGCCAGTTGCAGTGGAAGTCTGGGTAGATACTGAACAGGTCACTAAATTTATAGTCTCTTTGTACAGTCTTGTGTATGAACATTATTATCATTTGCTTGTTCATCTTTGCCCTAGGAGGGTAGTAATTTTTTCCTTGCTTATGTTACAGTAAAATTAGGATTCCCGGTGGTCAGCTCAGGTGCACTGCCCAGTGCTTCCTATGAAATACATAGATTTTATGTAATTCCTATACAGCCTAACATTGTGCGAGATGCTAAGGATAATTTGTGAGGTATAAACGCATTCATTTTTAAGTTGGATAGATTGGTTTAATCCTGAAACCAGGGAGAGAAGAGTCTAGGGAGAGAGACAGCATGTCTTCCTTTCTTGACAATGGATACCTGGAATACAGGAGTTACGAAGACTAGCTTCACAGGTGATCCACTTGGTTTGACGGGCAGCTAGGATAGATACAAAGAAGGAAACAGCCTACTGGTGTTGACAAATATGTTACCAGAAAACAAAGCATGGAGAGTCCTTCTTCCCATCACTCACTAAGGTGGAGAACTGATTGAGAGATCAAGTCAGGTATATTCCCCTCCTATTAATCAACTGGTAAGCCTATGGGAACTAGCTATCAGGGTGGCATATCGAGAAGCTTGGCTGTCTTCAGTTTTCATACTCTGGGTAGTGCATCTGGGTGGAAATTTCACACTTTGAAGTAAGATAGTTCCTCAGTCATGGCTAGTGCCTATTTACTATTAAGGGAAAATTAAGAGAAGGAGGTTTTATTGTGTTAGACAATCCTACAGTCAGTGCAACAAGATTTCCTGAATAGTAGGGTTGATCTTAAACCAAATGAGATAACCTGAGGCCCATAACATATTAGTACAGGTTCTAGTTTCTGCTTATATAGAAAAAATATGTTGTGTAATATAGGCTGATGCACCATACTAACTGCACCCCCTTTTCAAAACTGTAGATCCACCCATGCTTATGATTAGTGGCACCTTAATGCATATAACAACTGCTGAGAGATGAGTTCAGTATTTATTACATACTTGTCACAAACCAACAATATTTTGAAGAGTTCATGGGGTGTCATGAATGTTTTCTTGAGTTTGCTTTCTGATATGACACATATTGCCTCTCTGTATGTAACATCAAGCTGCATTTAGCCTTATCATTATTATCTCTGCATGAATTGTGGTATTTGATATGAATGTACCTTTTTTTGTTTCATGTTTTGGCCAGGAATGTTTAGTTAGGCAATGATTAACTTAATTTTCCTTCCCTATTCACACTTGAGAGAAGTAATCACTGAGAATTAACATCTGACATTGGTATGTTTAATGGCCAGTCATATAGACCCTTCTGGACATAGTCTGATGCAACTGAGACAGGTCAACCCAGACAATGATAAATCTACATTTTTAAAAGGAGAGACCTGTAGCAAGAAAAAACACCTGGCTATTCAGGTAAGGACATATTTCACACTGGGGAAATTAAGTGAGAGATGGTATCCATAGGATATGTCTGAAAGGATGTAAATATATCACAAATACTCCCTGGGTCATAACTGAATCAGGAAAGACTTTTGGTCTGCTAAATAGACACACCCTTGAGGGGAGGGAGAAAGGACAGCAGGGAGTTATATGTATAGGATGGGCTCCCTAAGACTCAAATGTATAGTGAATATAAATGGCCAATGTAAGTAAGAAACCATACTTAAGCCTTGCCATAAGGACAAGGGTTCTTCCAAGGTGTGGGGGGATGGAAATCTGTTATTTCTGAGCACACGACCAGGCAAGAGAGTGATTTTTTTAGCTGGCAAAATACACTCCAAGAGCTGGCAAGACTTGGGTGATGTGGTAAATCTGAGGTGCTGTCAGTCAGGGAGGTGATTTCTGGAGCATCTCAGTCTGTTCTCAGTGACCGAGCAGCAGAAAGCAGAGGATGATTTGGGACTAAAGGATGTTCCTGAAGGTGTAACAATACCCCAGGTGTGTCTCTCAAAGGTGCATCTCACTGAATCCAGGGTCAAGGTGAGTCACAATGCTATATGCTTTCTGTTTCTTCCCTTTCTTCTGGATTACATGAATGGGTCAAAGGAGTTAGTGACTGCATGTACAGTAGTACAAGCATAAATTTGGGTCACTGATGAGTGGGTGCTACTATATAGGAGTTTGCTGGTGAGCCTCAATAGTGTTGCAGCTCTGTCTTTACATCACTTGAGTGTTTGCTAAGGGTAGGCTTACTCACTACCTCCTTGGTAGGCAGATTGTGCCTCTTGGTGCCCCTCTGCAGGTCACTACTAGCCTGGCAGGGCTAAAGCTGACATAGCTATAATGAAGATTGAATAGCAACAGATGTGTAGATAGATTATAGAGAGGTGGGGCAAAAAATTATGGAGAGCAAGTCCTAGATTGGTGCCCTGATTTGCAGCATCTTGCTGCACAGGGTTTGCCCTGCTATAAAAGCAGTATGCAACTGGGAAAGAACAGAGCCCTTTAGTAACCCTCAGAAAATTGCCCTTCCAGCCCTCCATATATATCTCTGCATAGCTATGTAAATGTAGACAGCAGAGAAGTAGATATTTTGACATTAAGATATAGATGAATAGAAGTTAATGACTTTCAGAGGTGCTGAGAACCCACAGTTTCAATCAGACCTGATCCAAACCAATTAAAATCAATGGGAAAAGCCCCATTTATGTCAGTGAAGCTTGAAAAATAGCCATTGACTTCACAAGAAGTTACAAATTCTCAATATCTGCAAATCAAGCCAATACTGTAGCAAAACATGATCTTTCTAAAATAAAGTATTTGATCTGTGATAAAAGTGCAATGTTTTCTGCAAGAACAGCAACTCTTAAGTCTCTGACAGGATGACAAAACCTTTTTGAAGAGAAACTTTTTCTGTTAACTTCATAGGTACTTCTGCCTGAACACTACAGCACTGGGCTCAAAATGGCTAAGAAGTGTCATCTAGACAGAAATATCTAATCCTGCTGGCAGAATTCTCACTGAATTTACCAGCAGTTCGATGTACAAATGGGTTACTGGAACAGATCCAAAATTTAGTTTTTGTGTTCTTGTCAAAATAATATAAAGTCTTACAGCTAGGCCATGAAAGAATGAGGTGTGCAAGAACAGACCATTAGGCCCTTACATATTTTTCAGGGGTTTTGTGTATAAAATGGAGATAATGACACTGACTTCCCTTGTAAAGCACAATGTTGTCTTTGCTAATAAAAAAAATAATTTCGTTCAGGCATCAAGAGCCAGACCTAAAATTCATGAAGACTCCCACTGATTACCATGGACTTTAAATCCACTCCTGATGCTCCTTAAAACAGTATCATGAAGAGATTAATAAACTAGAAATGATGCTAATGAAAATGAATGCAAGTCTCACCAGAGAAGAAGCTTAAGTTTCTTATCAGAAAAGAATAACTCACTTTGTAAAATTGTAGGCCATGTTTGCTCACACTGTGCCTGTTTGTATGTATATATATGTGTGTGTATAAATAATACACAGAAATAAATACATAGAGATACAGATATAAATTTGTGATGAAACAGAAGGAGAGAAAATTCAGTCAGCTTTAATCCCTTTTTGGGGGTTGCCCAATATAGCTGAATCCAATTGGGCTAGTCCAAAATTATAGGGTAATAATGAAAAAGGTAAAAAGATATGTTAGAAATAATATTCTATATGATTTCAACCTCCACTTTTACTAGGGGCTGGTTTTTCTCTATAGATAACAACAACATTCCCTATTTTCATAGCAGTTCGCTGCCTGCTTCCTAGAGGCAGAACAAACAAAATACAAGAGAATTGCTACCTACTTTTGGCAGAAAAATAATTATATTTTAATGTAACAAGCATTATTTATTTTTCTACTTCATTTTCTGTAGCACATTTTTAGTAAGTCCAGTCTATCATTTTATCTACAAGGACAAATTCAGCTCTGGTATCAGAACATGAAATTGTATTGAAATCAATAGAGTTGTCTTTTTTTGACATGTATTTTTTTCCCACAGCCTCTCTGTCTCTCCTTTTGTCATATATAGTCATGTCAGTTTTATTCAAGATAAATAGACTCTCAGTATTAGCCAGATTCTGTGAGGTGCTGGGTGCCTTAAACTGTAAGTGACTTCAAAGGCCAAGCTCATCACCTCCTAAGATTTGGCTCTAGCTGCAGATTTTGTTTTATTCTCCATACTTACTCTAGGAAATTCTTTGAATAGTACAAATATTGAGGTTAGCTAACTGCCAAAGCCAGCTTTAGCAAATTTTGGATGGGTCTCTGAAACAGTTGTGCTGGGCTTGGTTTTGGTTTTATTTTATGGCCCTCACCATACCCCAGATGTAATCTTTTCTTTTTTTTTTGGCCAACACAGTTATGTCAACATACATGAGACTGGCATAAATATTGTGGGGAGGACTAATGGGGTGATTCTTTGGACTAAATACCAAGACTCATGAAAGATAAGGTTTCTCCCTGTGTGTGCATGCACATGCTCACATGTGTATGTTGAAAAATAGGATTTTTATATCCTACCTGTCTTTCATCATTTTTAAATATCCCGAGCTATCTTTGCAAGATCAAGGGCTAAAAACATACCTTTTTTTCCTTGTATGGAAACTGATAACCTCCTTCACATTTCTAAAGGAAAATATGGGGAATGGGACTCTTCATTGTAGTTTTTCTCAGGGAAGGTCTAAAGTTAGATTTTGCTAAGTGAAAATTTGTAAAACTTGCCAGCTATTGTATATAACTTAGCCCTATGTTGAAGTAAACTGACTTTGTGGGTTTGTATTCTCTCAAGCACCAAAAAAGGAGAATAATAGCAGTGGGATGCTCTAAGCTGTGCCAAGATTGGCAGAGCAAACTTCTGTTCTGCAATGCACCCTCCAGCCCTTTTTCCTCAATGTGACCTCTACCCTGAGAAGGCACTCAGCTGTAGTTCATTTGCTCCTATAGGCAGTTCCCTGAAATACCGCTTAAGACTCAGTAAATCTGGCCCAGAGTATCCAAATGATCTTATATCTGTACTGCTTAAAGTATCTATTATTGAGAAGCACAGAATGAACATCACAGGCACTGATGGAAGTAATGTTTTGTTTCATGATCAGTTCCCTGAAAGCACTCTATAGCCATGCCCTGACAGAAGTGCACAGCTGCAGAGCACTTTAAAGTTGCCTGATCATTAACAAATGGAGCACCTTCCTCAACTTTTGTTAGTGCCAGCCTGGGGGCAGGATTAGGATCATGATGCCCAGCCCTGCCCCAGGTGCTGTCTTCAGGATGGAAGTGGGGAAAGGAAGGGGAGGGAGCTTTGGTCTGGGGTTTGCCCTGCCTACACTGAAGGGGGGAAGTGTGCAGATTGGAGGCCAACCAAGGTAGGGGGGCCTCCAATCCACCCCCTTCCCCAGTGCAGACTGGGCAAATGACAGACAGAGCTCCCTCCACTCTCTTCCCCTCCCTCCCATCCTGAAGACAGCACCAGAGTTGGAAGGGGCAGAGAGGGACTAGGGGAGAGAAGCTGCAAACATGCCAGTGGCTCCAAAGTGGAGCTCAATCCTCCACCCCACAGAGCCAGCAGAGAACATCTATTGGGTTGGCAGGATGGAAGAGGTCCCTGAAAGTCATAGTGCTTCCTGTGAAGCACCATGAGTTACAGTAGGGAGCTGCACATCTGTCAGCACCCAATGTTACCTTTTTTTCCCCAGGAGTTCGCTAAGATGAACATCTGTACAAATCCTATCTGACACAGGTTTGTCCTGTTCTGCTTAGGAAAGTATATATATTAGAATAAAAAATAAATATTAATAGTGAAACAATGCAAGGGATATTGTAACCAGAGAATGATGAGGTAACTAAAAGTTAGGTATGCTTTATACTCTTCATGAAGAAATTTCTCTGCCTTACATAATACAGTGGGAAAGGCTAACCTTGCTGCTAAAATTCAATCTCAGATATCGCTTCTCTGCAAAAATAAATGTGATGAATTAAAAAGTAAGCGTTGCATCAGGAAATGTGAAGAATGTTTGAATTCCTGAGCAAACAGAAAACCCTAACCCAGAAAAAATCTTTAAAGAATGGTTTACTGATTTGTTTGACCTTAAAGCTCTTCTTCGCAAAGTTGTTGATTTCAGCCCATCAGCTCTCTGTTTTAAAATCTGCATCTAAACAGACCACTTTGGCAATAAGCAAACTAGTGTTAATGAAAAAGGGAATCCTGAAGTCACTTTGGGGACTGAAAGGTTTAATTTATGCAAGTGCTAATATTAGTATCTTTCCAAATTATTCCAATGGCTTCTGAAATGGGGAAGAGGACTTGATCTATTCAAATGAGAAGCGAGAGAAATGGCCATTTATGCTGCAGTTCTTTTCCTCCCCACTTAGTTAAGGAACATCTGTTTTTTTAACTAAAGAAAGAAGAAATGTATTTCATGGACTTCATAGATTACATAGACATTAGGGCTGGAAGGGGCCTCGGAAGATCACCATTTAGGAGAGGATCAGAAGAAAAAATCTAGTCAAAACTTTTAAACTGAGAATTTCAAAGCCAGCAGATTTAGACACTGCATTCCCATTATTTTTTAAGGTTAAAAAGCCTTCAATTCCTGACAATCTCAAAGTCTTCTTCAGAGTTCCCCTTCAAAAACTGGGAGAAAAAATAAGTACTGCAGGCACTTCAGTTTACCTCCTGTTCTGTTTGCCTGCATGCAGATATATCAAATGACGGTCTTAAGAGGAAACAAACAGAAAATGTCAGATACAGACTAATTCCAGGAAAAATACCAAAAGACCAGTGGGTAAGCTGGTCAGTCAGAAAGGCCTACCTGCCTTCTTCTAGAGCCAGAGCCTAAGATGAAAGAGATACTAAGCCATTACAAATCACCATCTAAGGATAAGTACCAGACATTCAAAAAGCCCCTGGTGGAAGTGCTCTATCATGCTTTACTTAAAGCACTATAAATTAGAGAACAAGTGAACTGAACAAACATTTGCTGTTCATGGGGAGGAGCTTGGAGCCTGACTGCACTGGTCACTGGGGTGGTCCCACATGCCTCCCAGGAGGTTGCCCAGTCCTGTCCCATCTGCCAGCTGGCAACTGGGAAGTGAGAGACCCCAGACCCCTCTCCCCACAGCTCACTAGGGCTGCACAGCAGTGCAGTGCAGCAAGGGCAGCTGCAGGGAGAGACCCCAGAGCCCTTCCCCTACAAGCCCCTCTCCCAGCCAGGCAGCAGCTCACTGCTGCCTAGCCAGGGCTGCTGTGGGAGGTTGAGACCCCAGAAACAACCTCTCCCCTTGCAGACCCCCTGTCCAGGCTGCCCGGTACAGCCCAGTAGGGGCAGCTGCATTAAGGGAGACCCTGGAGCCCTTTCTCCATAGCCCCCTACCACTAGCTGGGCTGGAGGCTGCAGTGTGCTGCAGGGCCAGGGCAGCTGCAGGGACAGAAACTCCCTTCCCCCACCCCTGCCACTGCCCCTGGCAAGGCTGTGTGCCTGGCTGGAAGCAGAGGCTGTCACTCACAGGGGTCAGTGACACCCAGGGGGGCAGGGCCAGCCCAAGTTTGTGCTGAGCAAATGAGCTCTGCCTGAGGATAGAGTGCAGCCCTGCACAACACTGCCTGGGAAGGCAGTAATTGCACTCTAAGTTAACCCTCAATGAGATCTGGCACAGACATTCAATAAAGTGCTCTAACAGAAAATGCTTTAGGTTAGTACACATCCATCCAGGGTTAGCTTAGAGCGTGACCCGCCATTTTTAAGCACTCTAAAAGCCATGAACATCTGTTCAGTTACTTCCTTAGAGTGCTATCTGCCTGCTTAAAGCACGACATGTGTAATGCCGGTACCCAGCCTAAGAGAAGAAAGAAAGAGCATCAGTGGCAGCTACATGAGGAGAGAGACTGCACAGATATTCAGGCCCTTGGAACTAGAGGGTTTGTCTGAGGCAGCTGGTTCTGCTTAAACTTTGAGAGGGATGATGAACAGAAACTGAGGGATGAGGACCTTGCAGATTTAACTTAACTTTCCTGCGCTTGCTATGTACCTTTGGGAAATGGGGAATATATCTGGAAAGAGTAGTTTGAAGTCATGTTAATGAACCATTAGGCACATTTTAGGAGTGAAAAGGGTGCTGCAAGGGCCTGTTCTGTTGCCAAGGTTAGAAACAGAGGGTTGCTACCCTAAAAGAGCAATGAACTGCAGAGTTTCACTTGGAGAGAGATGAAGCCAAACCTGTCTCCTGAGGGCTTGCACTCATGAGGCAATGCAAAAGGATATAAGATATCTTTCACTCTGCATGGGAATGAGTAGAGAGAGGTAGTTAGCTGTTGTATTAGTTTGAAGTCAAGGAGAAGGCAGGATGGGGTAGCACCCTGGAGCCTAACTAGTTCAGAATAGCATAGAAATCCAGTCTAAAGTGGAATGAGTTCCAGTTTGGAAAAAGAATAGGTAGAAGCCTGCTATTTGAACACAGGAAGAGGAACAAAGGAAAAACTAGAGGACCGATTACAGGTGCAGTTCACCCTTGAGACTTCACAGCAATCAATGTG